TCCACCTTTCCAAGCATGATATCCCACTCGAAGGAATAACCTGTCCTAACAATATATCCAAAATGTGTCACACAAAGCTTCGTAATCTTTGACTCCGGGGAACATTCTGGTTTCACGTTCTCCAAAGTCTATCTGTTTGTTCTTTTTGGCAGTCTGTGAGATATTCAGTACTCTTCTTCAGCACCACAACTTAAATACATCAATTCTTCTACATCATTATACATTGTCCAGCTCTCAGATACACATCGGGTGGTTGAAAGACTGTCGCTTGAATTGTGCATATCTTCGTTTTTAAACAGACATCATTGCTCTTTAGGACTTTGGAGAATCCCTGAGAGCAGACTTCCCCAGTGTTATATGTCTCCCTATCTTCTGACTACTGGTACCTCAGATGTTGACTGTGGACCCAAGCAAGATGAAATATTTTCTCTATCTATCATGATGTTGCCTATTGGTCCAGTGGTGAGTATTTTTTTCTCCTTGATATTGAGATGTATCTATATTAAAAGCTGCAGTCCTTGATCTTTTGCAGCAAGCAGTTCAGGTCCACTTCAATTTCAGGAAACAAGGTTGTGTCATTTGCATTTTGCAGATTGTTATGTAATCTTCCCTCCAGTCCTGATGCCACACTCTTCTTGATAAAGTCCAGCTTCTCGAATGTTTTACTCAGCATACAGATTGAACAGGTATGGAGAGAGGATTTAGACCTTAATGCACACCAGACATGAAAAATACAGTTGATGTTGAACTTTATCTACTCTTGACCAGTTGCATGTTGACAATAATGTAAACTCAAGGTGTCTCAACCTCTCAACCAGTCTTTGAGATTTTAGCAACAACTCAGAAAGATGACGCATTCACAAGAAAAAGTAAATTACAAAGTACTTCCTAAAGAGGGCTCTCTGAAAAACTAGTTTGCTCTGGTAGCTTATTAGTAAGCAAAGGAGTTGCATTGCCAACCTAATGGCAAGTTACTAAAATCCACTAGCTGCTTCTTGAAAGAAAAATGGCATTCTCTTCCCATGTGATTTACAGCCTCTGAACACCTGCTGAAAGTTAGCTATGAGTAGGTTTGGACTTGATGGCAAGGAAATGGTTGAATATGTTAAAATTAGGATTTGTTGGCGAGCTCTGGTTTCCTAGTGGCAAGAAGGTGTACTGAAATCCCAGAGGTGCAAGGTTCAAATCCACCAGATGCTCTGCTGGAGAAGGCGGAACAATCTCCTCCTGTACCAGTCAGATCTGATTTGACGGTACACACACACAAAAATAAAAAAAAAAAAAATAATAATTAGGATTTGTTGTGGTATGGTGAGTGAAAAGCTTTTGGCTGCTAACAATAATATTGATGATTCAAAACAGTTTCTCAGGAGAAAGATGAGACCGTTTTCTTAATGATCCAAGGCCTTGGAAATCCCAAATGCAGTTCTACTTTGTCTTATAGGATCACTGAAAGTCAGAATCGACTCACCCAATGGCAGTAGGTAAGATGGTAATGTTAAATGGGAGCACTGCTGGTGCAATTAATTGCTAAGTAAAAGGCTGGTGACTCAAAACTACCAGCAAGCCAGTGGGGAAAAGATAAGCCAATCTGCTTCCACAAAGATCACAACATTGGATTGCTAAGGGATAGTCTTACACTGCCCTAAAAGGTTGGCTATGAGTCAGGAATCAACTTGACTGCAACCAGTTTAGTTTGGATTGATTTATGGTCAAATGACTTTTCATAACGTTGATTAAGAAGGCTTAAATGGGATTCTCCATAATGGGAGTATATTATAAATCTCTCCAAAGCAGGAGCACAAGAAGTTGTTTCCCAAACTTCTGTGATCATGAAAGTGCCTTCTTTCAAAATATATGGTTAATTAACTTTGGAGAATATTAGTTTACTGTTGAAAGAAGCCTAGACATTTGGCTCAAAGGGGTCCTGAGAGATAAAACTTGTAAATGACAGTTTTAACAGTTTCTCCTTATATCTTGAAGACTGAAAAAAAATGCTTTAGTAGGAACTGCTAGTTACATTTAGTCTTGATTATGTGTGTGCTTATTTTTCCTCAAGGCATTGAAATTTTGAGCAAGAGGGTTAAGTAGTTAGGACTGTGGGTCTTCAGTCAAACTGCCTGGTTTCACAATTTTTCTTCCTGCTAAGCCACTAAGTTTTAAGGGCTGGACTAGCCATTCAATCTCTCTGTGCTTCAATTTTTATAGTTTACAAGTACTTTCACAAGTAATTATAGTATGCTTTGGTAAGTAGGATGAGCAATTTCATCATCTCTCTTTGACACTCAGGGACCCGTTCTGAGAATGGATAAATGACATGCCCAATCTTATAGGCAGAGCTGATTAATGATGACATTGTGACTCAAAATAAAAAAATATGCAAATTTCAAAATTTGAGCATTCTCCCACTTTATTCTAATGCCTTTCAACATCAAACAAAAAATGAGATTATTTTGTGAGTTCAAAATGGAATGAATGCAAATTTGGGTATGAATAAGATGCTGAAGATTTAGTTGAAGGAAGTCTGCAGGAATGTTGGAAGAAAATGAACTTTTACAACTTACAAGAAGCACTTACCTATTCGTCAGATGCTAGGCTACACAATTTTCCAGATGATTTTTAATTTTCACAACACTCAATCTGGTTTTATACAAGAAAAACTAGGCTTTAAAAGATAATGCAACTTTCCCAAAGGCATATAATTAAGCAGATGAAAACCTATGTCTCATAACCTACAACAGTATGGTGTTTTTACTTGCTGAGTTTTGGTAAAATCATTTCACTTCTTCTAGTTACCTCAGCAACAAAATAAGGCAACTAGACAAGATAGTTGTTGGGAACAGTGGACCTGAACCTTCTTTCCCTATCCTGTACCATCATCATCTCTGACATCGTTGATTTAGTCACTGTGTCAAATCATCTCATTGAGAGGCTTCCTCTTATTCACTGACTCTCAATCTTCCCAAGAATGATGTTTTTTTTCCCCAAAGGAATGGCCCTTCCTAACAATATGTGTATGAGACAAAGTTTTGTATGCTTTGCCTCGAAGAAGCATTCTGGTTGCACTTTCTCCAAGACATATTTGTTTGTTTCAGTACTCTTCTCCAACACTTCAACTCAAAGGCATCAATCCTTGTTCTGCCATCCTTAGTCACTGTCCATCTTTCAGATGCATTTCAAGTAACTGAAAAGACCATGCCTTGGATTAGGTGCACCTTAGTCTTTAAACACATCATTGCTGCTTAGCACTCTGAAGAGGTCCTTGATAGACTTTCTGAACATCTTTTGATTTTTTGACTGCTGGTAACAAAGGTGTTGATTGTGCATCCAAGTAATTTGAGATCCTTGACAAATTCAATAATTTCTCCATCTATCATGTTGCCTATGGCCCAGAGGTGAGGATTTTTGTTTTCTTGATGTTGTTGTTGTTGTTATGTGCCGTGGAGTCGCCTGCATTGAAAACTGTAGTCTTTGATCTTCTGCAGCAAGCTTTCAATTCCTCCTTTCAACAAGTAAGGTTGTGCCGTCTGCATAAACAAGTTGTTGATGAATCTTTTTCTGAGGCCACATTCTTCATGAAGTCCAGCTTCTTCAATGATTTCCTCAGTATACAGACTGTGAAAAGATATGGAAAATGGATGCAGCCCTGATACACATTTTTTCTCATTTTAATAAGACTAAGTTTTTTCACAAAGTGTGCATTTTAGTTGTTACAAAAACACTAAGTTGTCAATGATCACATAAATTTGGGAAATGTTAGATTTTAGAGTAAAAGCACAGCCTGCTTACATTAAAACATTGGGTTTATTTTTCTTTTAAAGGAAAAGTTTAGGGATGAAGACTACCTCCTTTACCAAGCATGATTGTCTTTCTCCAAAACCAGGACCGTTCTGATCACATGTACAAAATATGTGAGATTACACACTTGGTAGCAGACTTACTTCTTTTTCTCATAGTCAAATAGGGACTAAGGGCTTTTGAGCCCAAACAATTATCTTCCGCAGTTTGAATCCAGGCTGCGTTTTACCACCTGGGCAGGATGATTATGCGTCAGAATGGATTCTATGGCAATGAGTGAATGCAGTAATTATGCCAAGTTAGATAGGTCTGAAAAGTCTGAAAATGAGTGCATAGTTTGGGCACTCTCCTTCTGTGCCATTTAACTGCCTCTGAAAACCTGTTGGAAGGTCGTTTCCTTCCAACAGCACACAACAACAGTAACTTTCTAGAAATGATGCTTTAGGAGTTGCTCTGCCCACCCAAATGCAGGTAGTTAGAATCTGACAGCATTGCAGGAGAAAAGACCGGCAAATTCCTGCCTTGGGATTTACAGTCCTTAAAAACGGTGTAAGAGGGAACCTAAGAACATTTTCCAAAAGGAAACACTTAATAGTTTTACTGGACCTTTTTGTACTCCACTGCTTCTACACAACTTTTAATCATTGACAGACCCTGAGTTGTTTTTTAAAATATGTTTAAGAAACTACGTTCAATTATATATGCCTGCAGCATCTCATATCTGGCCCTCTTTTACTCGAGAGATTTGGGGTGGGGTTGGGGTAGCGGAGGAGAAGAGCACTGAAGTAGGACAGGCTTAGGAGAGATCGTTTGGTTCCTCCAACTCCCAAGCAGAGGTTTCTCGGTTTATTCAGACTAAGGGCTAGCGCCCACACCTAGAGGTCTTCCTAAGGCCACCTCCCCACAGCGGGACAGCGCGTGCAGAAGTCCTGGCGCTGCGGGAAGCACCGCAGAGGGCCTCAGGGCGTCCCCAGTCACGCGGGCCCAGGGTCCCCGCCTAGCGGAAATACACAAAACACTACCCCGCCAAGGACGGGGAGCAGGGCGGAGCTCAGGGAGAGGCCACTCCAGGGACTTGCCGGAAGAAACCGGGATGCCCGGGAGCTGGAGCTGGCTGCGACAAGGGCGCGTGGCACGCGCGGACCCTCCCGCGCATGCTCCACCTGCCGGCTTCCCGCCCCCCGAGCCGGGGCCCGCCTCCTTCCTTCCCTCTCCCCCCTCCCACGCGAGCCTCCTTGTGAGCCTGGCCCCTCTAGGCCGGTGGCCGACGTTCGGCGTGCGTGCTGGCGCCTGACTTCACTTCCGGCTAACGCGCTCCGCTTGCCCCCTGCCCCCGGATGGTGACTGGCGGTGGTGCTGCACCTCCCGGGACTGTCACTGAGCCGCTTCCCAGTGTGATTGTGCTAAGCGCAGGCCGGAAGATGGCGGCTGCGGCTGCGGCTGCGGCGGCCTCGGCCCCGGGCTGCTCTTCGGCGTCGGGGGCGGGAGCGGCCGGGGTCTCGGAGTGGCTGGTGTTGCGGGACGGCTGCATGCGCTGCGACGCCGACGGGTTGCACAGCCTCTCCTACCACCCGGCGCTCAACGCCATCCTGGCCGTCACCAGTCGCGGGACCATCAAAGTCATCGACGGCACCTCGGGGGCCACCTTGCAGGCCTCGGCGCTCAGCGGTGAGTGTGTGTGCGGCCCGCCAGGCTGGGGTTGGGCCTGCTGTGAGAGGAGCGGAGCCCGCGGGATGCCGCGGAAGGAAGCCGCCTAGCCCTCGGGCTCGGCCGGGCCCCTCCGGAGGAGAGGAAGCGGCGTGACTGGAGCAGAGAAGCGGGAGGACAGGGCTGGCCGATCAGGCCTGACTGTGGAGGAGGGTGGCCGGGAAAACGGATGGAGAGGGACCTTCGGACTTGGCTTTTTCAGTGACTCCAGCTGGGAAGGGGACTGGCCAGGCGGGGGCTGGTGGGAGTTGTCTTTTTGGTCTGAGTTGTTTGTGCGGGAGAGGTGAGGAGGCCTTGGGAGTCTGGCCCGGGAGAAGGGCAGGTTCCCGGGTAGGTCGTGTGGAACTGCCCTCCGCTAGATCGGAGAGCGGAAGGGGAGAGGGTTGGTCCGGCAGAGAGAGTCCGAGGTGGCCCGGGCCGGGGAGCGTCGGAGCCCGATCCCAGCCCTCCCGACGTGGGTCACAGGTCCTGCGGTTGCGGGCATGTCCCGCAGGTGCGAGGATGTCCCCACGGGCTTGGGGGCGGGGTGGGTCTGGCGTGGGGGTGGGGAGGGAAGCCGACGGGTACTGCCTGAGCTGGGGAGACCCGGGTGGAGGCCGGGGCTACGGCTCCCTGTTTCCTCCTTCCCCCTTACCTCCCAGCTCCTAAGTGCCAGAATCGCGGGACCGGCGCTGAGTGAAAGGGAGACTCCTATAGGCTCGCAATCAGTTCAGATCTCGGCTCCCCTCTACTTGGATTAACCGCAGCCACTCGAAAGTTGGCATTCTGGCTATGCCTGCGTTTCATCGTTGGAAGGAAGCACCTTTGGGAGGTGGACGTTGGTACAGGGACTGGAATTTATAGGATGTGTGAAGTGAACCTCACTGGTGTGTTTTGGAATTGCCTCAGCAAATTTTATGGCAAAGTGACATAACATTTATTAAATCATGAGTGACTCTAAGATGTTACAAGACTGAAAAGTTAAAATGTGAGTGAGTTAGACTAAATACCTTAAGCTAAATGGAAAAACCTTATATGATCCACGTCAACACATGCATTTGTTAAACAAGTAAGTTATTTACTGTGTCAATAATAAGGTAGTTAAAAGGATTAAGAACAATTTAGGGTAATAAAGAGGAAATTAGAGATGTTCATTCTTTTCCCCCCAACCAGAGAGTTCTGGAAAAATATTGTCTAGTTAAGGAATATATACAAGACAGGTCTATATCGAAGAGATAAGTTAAATAAAAAGTTTTTGGCTGCAAGTTAGCATTTTCTTTGATTGGCAAAGCTGAAATACAGATGGGGGGTGTTCTAGATGTAGCAACAAGTAATTACTGCAACTTTGGGACCCCAAATTTCTTCACTTTGTCTAGGGGGATATGTTTATTAGTAACTGGATATCTTTCTTTTTAAACACAATTAAAATAATTCAAACATCAAAGACATCAAGGATAATACAGTGAACAATGTTTTACACCTCTACTTAGTTTAGTTCAAGCACCTTCTCTGTCTCTTGATTTGAGTTCTTCCAACTCTCCTTTCATCAGGAACTTATCTTTAACTGTTTGTTGTTCTTGTCATCAAGTTGAGCACAGGTCATAGCGTGATTCATAGCAAGCGACTCTGAACAAAAGACCTTTCCATAACTATTGTCGTTTCTCCAAGTTCATAGATTTTCCATAGACATGTGGTTTAGGAAGTGGATGCCACTCCTACTTCCAAACCCGTTTTACAACTGGAAGCTCCACCAAACACTGTCTACATTGGGAAACCATTACGGTATTTAATACCTCAATGGAATGAGGTACACCATCACAGAAAACCCAGGTTACTTTATACAGCACATTGACAAAGAGTGATGTGCAAAGTGAAAGACTGTTCCTCCAGATATAACAGCACTAGTCTCATTTAGCTGTGGTTAAGTGTTGATGAGTTGAATATAACTCAGAGTAAGCTTTGCACAAAAGATCAGAACTCCATTCTATAACTACCATCATTTTTGTATGTTTTGTAATTTTCATATTCTTTTCTTCTTATTATATGCACGTATCTTTGATACTTGATACCTTTCATGATTTTAAATTTTGAGTGTTTATTAAGTGTCTTAAATTGAAAGAAGTTTCATGGGAGTGCTTTTCTGTCTGGAACTAATGTTTGAAAAATTGTACATAGATGTATGTGAAAAAAAAATTTTATTGGTAGATTACTTAAGGGGCAGTTTTGAGGGGGGAAAAAACTCTAGAAGTGTAAAACACACAACCAGTTTAGGTTAATTTCATTGGGGCATGCTAGAAGAATTTAATGAAAAAGTTACCAGATTTATGGAAGATATCTGTGCATTGAACATTAGTTATGTGATTAAAAGTATATATAAGAACTTGTGAACAAAGTAATAGGATTCTAGATAGATTTAAAAGTAAGAGTGGATAAGTCTTGAAATGTTTTTATGTGAGAAATGAAGTTAATAATAATTACCGAAGATTAGAGTACTATATCTGTGGTTTATTCAAATGATTATGTAAAGAATGCATCATTTTATGTTTTAGTTGGAATATAAAGGTATTATTTCCATATTTTTAACAGTTAATAGAAGCTAAAACTCTTCTTAGAGGGTGGGCAGAAAGTGCCAGTAATGCAGCTTCTGTGGTCCTATACATGACCACTCATTTCAGTCCCTTGCAGTGATCCACTTTCCTTTTTACCCCAGATGAGAGACATTTTTATAGGACAATGGGAAAACCCTTGTGACTGTATAGAACTTTATTGGGTGATAGAGTAGTGTTTCTTAATAGATTCACAGATTACGTTCATAGGGTTATGAGTCACCTAGTGTAGATGGGAAATTGCGGGATGGGCACAGGACTTGTGTGTGCAGTGTGTGTGTATGTATATGTATATATGTGTTTGATGTATCGCAGAGATGGTGAATTGCAGCTGTGTCTGATAGAATATATATATATATATGTCTTAAATGATTTCTGTCTTGCATGATGTGTTTATAAACACACTTTACCTAGAACAAAAGTTAACAGGATATACATAGATGATTGTTGCGTGACATCAAATCAAAACCAACTCATAACTGACCCTCCGGTAGGTTTTCAGAGTAATTAATCCCAAGGGAAGAGATTGTGCATCCTTTTCCTGGGGAGTTGCTGGCTGATTCAAACCTTTGGGGTTGCAGCAGAGCCTTTTACCACTAGGCCAACAGTGCTCCCTTAGACATGGATTAGAAATAAAGAAAAGTATTTGCTTCTTGTTTAAGAGTTAAAGGGGAGCTCTGGTGGCCTAGTGGCAAGAAGCTGCACTGCACTCCCAGAGGAAAACGGTTCGAATCCACCAGATGCTCTGCCGGAGAAGGAGGCGCAATATCCTCCTGTACCAGTCAGATCTGATTTGACGGTACACGCACACAAAATAAAAATTTAAAAAAAAAAAAAAGAGTTAGATTTTCTGAGGCTGTGAACAGATTCTTTGGTCTAATTCTCAGTGACCTATATGTTATGGCTTCTATCAATCTCCTTAGCCTTGTCTTATTTTGTTTTTTGAGAGGATTTAATTAATTTCCTAACAACAGAAGTTTGATCTTTTCTGCGATTCACCATTTATTGTCTGCCAATTAAAACAAATCTTACTCATTTTTCAAGACCTAGGGCAGATTTTAGGTTTATGGTCCGTTTAGTCTGAAGTGATCCCCTGACATTGTCTAAAAATGTAGGCTGTTCAAACTCGGGTACTTTTGGAAGTATGAGGTGAGTGACTTTTCTGCACAAATAGAGTGACCATGCATTGAAATCAACTCATCAACAACTAACCACCATTGTGTATTTTAGTAATTTGGCAGCGTAAGGTAGAGGATTGACAGAGGAGAGGGAGACCCTCAACAAAATGAATTGACAGATGACTGAAGCAGTGGCCTCAATTATATTCGAGATGGTGAGGATAGGGCAGGGCTCAGGTCTGTTGCTCGTATGGTCTCTAGATTTGATGCCACATAACAGCAGCAACAACGTCTGTGGCATGTTTTCTGCTGTCTTGAAATTTCATTTTGTTAATAAGCTTTTTCTAAGTACATGATTTAAAAAAAATACATAAGCTCCTTGTGCAATGATAACCTTGTATACTTGTTTATGTTCCATCCCGAAGATGCCTAACTCAGAATAACTCAATGTAATATTTTTTATTTGATGTACATATGCCCATGGGTATATTAAATATGTCTTTACATAGTAATTGCTAGAAAAATTCAGTCCTTGACTTTGGAGTTTTCTTTACTGCACCATATTGTTCATTATCACCAGATCTATCGCTATATGTAACTGTTCTTTCTTTAATGTAGTTTAGCAAAGCAAAGAGTTTGATTCTAGAACAAGATTACTTGGGTTAATAGCCTACCTTTCCCACTTGATTATGCTTATAGCCTTGAGAGAGTTACTTAAAACATTCCAGTGTTTCTGTTTGCAAAATGGGAGATGATAAATGTACCAGTTGTGAAGATGTAGTCTTCTTAATCTATAATATCTTTAGAACAGTGTACTTATTGTGCAATTGAGTGCTGTAATCTATTTGCTAGTCGGCTGTAAATATTTTTGTTTCTTAAACCTTTTTGATATTTTCCGTTAAACCTTTTGAACTTAACTCCAAATTTGAACCTGCAAGGATATATATTTTTTTTTAAATTTACAACCTAGCAAACATATCTGCTTTGTAGTTAGCTGTAAAAAGTTTTGTTAATTTGTTCAGCACTGTTTTTATTATTTACTTACTGGTTGTAATGTTCTCTCTTGCTTTCTAAAATAGCCTCAAGTTCCCTTCCCTTATATGTAGTAAATTTTATATTTTTTGTCTCTGACTTTTTTTAGGGTTTGTTCAGAGAGCATGGGCTTTATGTGTTAGATAGTGCTGAATTTGAAAACATAGTTCACTTACTGACTCACTTTCTAGCTAGTTCTTGAACTTCACATTCCTCATCTCTAATT